CCCTTGGTGTGGCCTTCATTAAGGATCATCTCTTTGGCTTTGGTGATAGGACATCAAGACATATTTAAATCGGAAATATTTGTCATTCATATTTATCACTATTCACAGTATCACACTAACTGCAAAGCGCTTCATAGTTAATAGTTTATCTTCTCCAGACATTGGGAAGACTGGATAAAGAATCTGTGATACGGAAGTTTGCCAAGAGACAGGAGTAGATACACTTGGTGTCTAGGATGTCTTGTTCTGATGCCTTGTGATGTCTTCAATGAACTATTTTTCCTTTAGTGTCTGCCACAGGGAGGGTGGTTTATAAGTGTTTTTTATTTTTAAAAAAGATTTATTTATTTCCTTTTATGTCATTGATGTTTTGCCTACACGTATGTCTGTTGGAAGGTTCCAGATTCCTCCCCTGGAAGTGAAGTTACAGACACTTGTGAGCTGCCACGTGGGTGCTGGGAATTGAACCCTGGTCCTCTGAAAGAGCAGCCCATGTTCTTACCTGTTGAGGTATCTCTCCAGCCCCAGCTTACAAATCCTATACCAGGTACTGAAAAAATACTTTCAGATTAATGAAGAGGAACAGAAATAAACACTGAGTGATTGTTTTCAAAGACCTTGTGATAGCTAAAAGGAATGAAAGCGTTTTTGCATCCCTGGAAAGTAATATTAATAAAAGATAGCACATATGCCTTGAACTGAACGGACTCAGACATGAGTGTGCTGACTGGCTTTAGCCCTGGAGTTAGCATTAAGTTACAATGCTCGTCAGGTAGGTAACCTCTGCTGGCTTCTGGCTTTTGATTTACTCTCTATAGCTGCTGCTGCTTCCTCCTCCTCTGTCTTAAATCACTAATTAATGGCATCCTAAGTTTATAGAAATGAGAATAACTTAAACATTATTAAATAACAGGTCTCCTGTTTCTGTCTGGACCATCGGTGAAAGTTTTGGTTTGGCTTCCTTCAAACACAGGGTCTAGAGTTGCTAATTATGTTAAAGATCTTTAAAATGCAAGACAATTACAAGACAACACGGGGGGGGGGGGGGCTGAAGAGCTAGCTCAGCACTTAAGAGTGCTTGTTGAGAGAGGACCTGGGTTTGGTTCACAGTTCTTAACTCCAGTTTTAGGGAATCCGATGTCTTTTGACCTCTAAGGACACCACCAGACGTACATATAGTGCACATTCATGCCAACACAATATTCATACACATCAAATAAGATAAATAAAACTAAATTAAAAAGTTTAAGTTAAAGCAGTACAAACCAGGAAAGCTGTTTTTTAGGGTTCTGAATTTCTCACATGTGTCATCAAAGCTGGAGTTGGGTAATAAGAAAACAGTGAGTTTGTTACCTGGGTATTTCTTCTTTTCCAGTTCATCCATTCATTACTGCTAAGGCGTGTGTGGTGTGTGCCCGCCTGTGTTCACTGCGGCATACATGTGGAAGTGAGAGGACAGCTTTTAAGAACCGCTCCTCTCCTCTGCCTTGACGAGGCAGGCTCTCTTGTTTCTCCCGTGCCACACACCGCAAGCTAGGTGGCCTAGGACATTTCAGACGACTCTCCTGTCTCTAGCCCCATCTTGCTCAGGAATACTGTTCTCTGTGTTGCTTTCCTTTGGACAAGTGTGGACAGGCTGGTTTCTTATTTCTTCTTGATTCCTTTACTCCACCAAATGCTGACCCCCTTCTCTCTAAGTACATCATCTGTTCTCCTTCCCAGGAGATTGATTTAGCAATGTTTACTTGGGCAGGGAAGTTGTTCACCTCTTCTGCCTCTTTATTAATATCAGCACCCACAGTCATGGATGGATGCCAGGAAGGAAAGGAAACAAACAAACAAACAAGAACAAAACCTATTATCATACATTCTGTGCTCCTCGGGCTCCTGCTGCCCAAAGTTTGTGGTAATTTTAAATTTCCTCAACATATCAAATCTACAAGTAGTTCCTGTTGCAGACTTAGGTGGTCATAAAAAGATAAGTGCTTTGTAACATATAAAATACTAGAGTGTGCTTTTACACAACCGCTGACTTTAGTTCTTTGTGTTTTATTAGCCGCCGTGTTAGAAACTCCAGGGAGTAGATTTGCAACCATAAGGGCAGCACGGGTCTGCCCCGAGCCAGCTCCCCACAGGTTGTCAACACAACTCATGATTCTAGCCAGTAAGGAAGACTAAAGCTTTGGAGGAAGACAGAGTTAGTTGAGAAATCAAGTTTGAATCTGATAGGTCTTTCCAAGCAAGGCTCTCCATTAGGTTTGGGTAAGAATCAGCCAACAGCATTCGGGGGAGGGGGTGGGTGGATGGGGTGAGCGATGGGCAGAGCCAGCAAGGGGAGGGCTAGAAGTGGGGGTTTATAGAACACTCTCTCTCATCAATCTTTTCTGATACTAACTGCTAGAGCCTTCAAGAAATCCGTCCTAGCTGGCGGTGGCGGCGCACGCCTTTAATCTCGCACTAGGGAGGCAGAGGCAGGCAGATCTCTGAGTTCGAGGCAAGACTGATCTTCAAGAGCTAGCTCCAGTACAGGCTCCAAAGCTACAGAGAAATTCTATCTCGAAAAACCGAAAAAAAAAAAAAAGAATGTCTGTTCTTGCCATGAGCATTCAGCATTCACTCAGGTAGGAGACTCCCTCAAACGAAGCTGGCACCAGAGTCAGAACCAACGCGGCCTTTGTAAAGTAGACCCGAAGGTGTGCTTTTCCTAGCCAGTGTGAGCTGGCTGTGGGCTACTAGTGCCCGCAGCAAGCTCAGACAGCCCAGAGGGGCAGCAGCGGGAACTGAAGTCTGTGGAATTACTGAAAACAACCACCCTGCTTTGGGGGCAATAATTAAGAGGTGAGAAGTCCTCGAGGCAGGAAATGACCACCTTTTAAAGTCCCACCTCTGTTTCTCAGATCACCGGCTCTTTTCCCTTTAACGTGGAAGCAGGAAAAGAGCCCGGGTTCAGATTCCTGCACAGGATCTCAATTCCATTACTGCTCCTTGAGTCTCCCTCCCCAGCCAGGACAACATTGGTAATCACGGTTTCCCACAGGCACGGGAAGAGACTGGGGTCAGGAGGGATGCTCAGCTGTGAAGAAGCCACCTGGGTGAAGCACCCAGAATGCTTAACACTTGAAAGGAGTGTGAACACTGTATTTACATATAAATGAAAATGGAAAGTTCTTATGGGGTAGGTTTCTGTGGCGGGGCGCAGGGCTGGGATCTATTGTTTACTTGTGCTGTAAATCCTTTGAAATGTGTTAAAATGCTTCCCACTCATTATAAAGCTCCTGCCGCCACCGCCCCCCCGCCGCCCCCGGATTACGACTTTGATGCCACCAATCCTGCTTCAAAGGGTCCTTCACAGGCTATTAATCACAGTTTAGCCTCTGAAGATATCAGCGGAGAAAAAACATTTGGACGACGCCATGCTAGACTTGCGAAAACTTTGAAATCCTGAGCGTCTTGCAGATGCACACATCCTTGCTTTGACAAGTTTTCATTCTGTTACACAATCGGATGACTCTGTTAGGAAAACTGCAGACGAATGTTTCCACACACTGGGGTTGGTGGACGGTAAATAGGGAAGGGAGGACAGAGGCTAGAGGCTCCTCAGCCCTGGAAGGTAAGTCACAGAGATAAGCGTGGCGTCTGTTGGCGCTTGCTTTTCACTGACTGATGTTCGCAGAGGCCAATGGAGAGCTCGCCATCTCCCCTCACCTTCTACACTCTGCCTGAAGACCTACAGGAATTGTTCACGGCAAATGGTAGTAGTGAGCCTGCCGTCCACTTGTCCAAGGGCCTGGGAGCAGAAACCTTTCAGATTTTGGAGTTTCAAAATTTTAGATTTGGATTTGAGAGTATTTGCATCTGCATAACGGGCTGTCAAGGGAATGGGACCCTAATCTAAACCCAAGATTTAGGTTCCACATATATGTCTATGTGTACCTGCAGGTGATTTATACCGTATGTATATATGTGTATATTATTAATGTATAGACACATAAATATGTGAGACAGGTTGTATATATACATACTATACCTATGTGCATATATACACATATCTTGGAGCTGTACCACCAGTTCCTATTTTATATGATATATGCAATAACTTTTTTTTGTTTTTTTTAAGACAGGGTTTTTTCTGCATAGCCCTGACTGTCCTGGATCTTGCTCTATAGACCAGGCTAGACTTGAAGTCACAGAGATCTGCCTGCCTCTGCCTCAAAAATGCTGGGATTAAAGGCATGCACCACCATGCTCAGCTATAATATTTTATGTATGTGGCTGGGGATATAGTTCAGCACCAGGGCCCGAAGAGCCAACACTTAGCAGGTACAAGGCCCTGGGCTCAATCTTTAATACTCAAGGTACTGATAATCGTATAGTTTTGTGCATGGAACAAAGTTCCAGGTGGGGTGGGGCGATTCCACTTAAGACATCCTGTCAGTCCTCAAAATTTTTGCCTCCAGGAACATTTGGAGATTGGGTCTTCATATTTAGGGATGCTCAACTGTTATCATTAGATTACATTCATTATCAGGACCAAAAGCTATGAAACCTTTTCTGTGAAAACTTTACAGCCTCCAGTCTTTTATTTAAGTCTTTAGTAATCAACCATTGAAAGTTTTTGGCTTTCTGGTGTGTGTGTGTGTGTGTGTGTGTGTGTGTGTGTGGTGTGGTGATTATATGAGCAATGGCAAAGGAACGCCATGGCACACTTTTGGAGGTCAGAGATCAACTTGCAGTAGCCATCGAAACCAGTTTTCTCTTTCCACCAATGTGGGACCCAGAGATTGAATCCAGGTTGTCACACAGCAAACACCTTTCCCCCCGAACCATCTTGCCAGCTCAAATGTTTTCAATTTTCTTTTACTTCTTAGGACACCGATCAGAAAACTCAGAAACATACAAGGACATAAAAGGAAAAATTATTCATAACTCAGTTCTTTAACTTTTCCTTCAATGTAAGCATTTTTTGTTTTGTTTTGTTTTGCTTTGTCTTTTTTGCTCAGGTAATTTGGCCCAAACAAGAGCTAAGATCACAGCATCTTCAAGATCTTTGCCTCCACATTTCAGTGCTGGGAAAGCCAAGGTGAGCAGCAGATTGGTACCACTGACGGGGTTGGGAGTGGATGCTGTCTTGGAGCTAATGACAGAGTGGGCGACCCTGCTGCTCTCTGTCTGTCACTGACTGCACAGTCTGCACACGAGACTGGCAGTGTTCGGGAAACAAGGGCAGTTCTGAAAACTTAGAAAATTCGAATTGTGGGATCATTACAATCCTGATAGTCAGGAAAAATAATACCTAACATGGAGAAGAATGGCGTGTGAATGAGGCCTTTCCAGGAAGAGATAAAGCAATTTTCTCTGGGAGCATCGCCACCCCACAGAAGGTAAGGAAGCCAGCTAGAACCAGCGAGGAGAAAAAGAACCAAATCCACTCCTGCCCTCTAAAAGTGAGTTATGCAGGGCCACGCTAGGAGGACTCATAAATATCCAACCATAAAATAATATCTAGCTGTTCTGCTCTTCCAACCGATGTTTAGACAGGACCTCAAGGACCACCTGATTGATGTCGATTGTATAGATAGTTCTCCCCACTCGTCTGTGGTTGGGCTTTCTGTCGCTTTAGCTGCCAGTGGTCAGTCATGATTCCAAAATATGAAGTGGAAAATTCCACAGACAAACCATTTATAAGTTTCCAATGTGGCATCATCGAATGACAATATGAACGCCCCTATTATCTCTCTTGGTTCTCATAAGATCTGACTCATCCTTTGGGGCAGCGAATCCATGTTGTTTGCACCTCCCCCACCCCCGTCCTTAGGGGCTCTCTCTCAGTTGTGGGGTCATCTGTAGTAACACAGTATAACCTTTTTAGTTTTTAACCTAATGTTGGCTCTCAAACATAGGAATAATGATGCTGGCAATTTTGAAATGCCAGAAAAGACGGTTCCTTACAGGGAAAGTGAGGGGCTACCTTTCATACAGTATCATCTTAGAACTGTTAATTTTGTTATTAGCTGTGGTTGTTATCTCTTACTTTGCCTAATTTATAAGTTCGACTTTGTCATACAAATGTTTGCATAGGGAAAAAAGGTATAGTATCTATAGGTTTTGATGAAGTCCACAATTTCAAGCATGACTTTGGATATATCCCCCAAGGATAAGAAAAAAGCTACCTCCTAACCCCAAAACCAGTTATCTTGAAGGTATTGGTGTGATAAGGAATTTACATCTCTGAATTTTCTTACTTTCTATTTATATAACATATTAACTTACTTAATAAGAAATAACTAATTTGGTCACATATAATACTATTAAGTATTACTCCAGAATTGATATAAATGTACATATTTATACTTACTTTCTTAAGAATAAAATTTTTTTTTGCACACAGTAGAACTTCGAAGATTTTATCTAACAATGATTTTTACACCCACGTTGCTTTTAGGACCCACTTGAATCCCCTAATTTTCATCTTGTTTCTTTGTGGCAAAATATCAGGACTATTTACCATGGGTTATATGAGCCCATGGGAGAGCTGTGTGTAAGAGTTTAAGTACTCCCAAGAACTTCTTGATCTGGCATGACTATGTTGCTTGTGTTCCATGTAGTTGATTCTCATTATTTGTAAAAATTATGATTCGTAAGGTCACTCCAAATAGCAACACTGAACCATTGCCCCGGAGGGTAATACAGGTTTAGGTTCCAGCAAGACTCTGGTCAGAACCAAACAATAAATACCTAACCCTCAATTGATGTGTTTTTGTTTGAAGACACCTAGTTACACACACACACACACACACACACACACACACACACACACACACACCTTCTATCTAATTCTGCTCAGTGTTTTTATAAAAACCATATTTCACTTGCAGCATCTGTGTCTTTAAACTCACAGACGATAGCACACTAATTCTTTCCCAAGGGAAGCCTGTTGGCGCACACCTCTGCATGAGGCTCTTCACCCTCTTCTTGTTCGAAGCTCTCTATAGCACTTCAGAAACACACTTGCCCCCCCCCAACTGAAAACTTACCAATAAAGCACATATAAATGCAAAAACAGCCGTATATAAATAGACCCTGAGAGCAGACTCTTGTCTGTGGTAGGAGAGCTGAGCCGGAAGGACTGGCTGTGACCTTTGACTCTAACCGGAAGGTTGAGCACCAGCAGATACCTCCTTTTCACTGCTGTGTATTCTGTGAATGACCAGAAAAGCATTTGTGACTGGTCTTGGGGCTTTAAATAAACTTTTGCAGGAAGCAGATTAAAAAATATAGAATTTACACATTATGATGGTAAATTATGATGATTATGATGGTATGATAGTGTGTGCTTTTTTTGGGTAATGATTGGCTTCCACAAAATTCTGAATGAGCTCCTAACACCAAAAGATTCCCTTCGGTCCTGAGTTCCTTTCTTGCTCACACTTGATTTCTAAATTTGGAACCCTGCTGCGACCTGTGCCCCTGCCCTCCACACCTAGAGCCCAGCGTGGTGCTGTCTCCCTCCCTATTCTACATGGTATTGTCTAGGCCTGCCCTCCGGAGTCGTGCGCCCTGCGCATTTAAAAGCACACAGGTGATGAGTACACAGGACCGGAGGTTTGTTCTAGTCTTTCAAAGGAGATGAGCTTAAAGTTCTAACTAAGACATTCAAAAATATGAAGGCAACAGTGATTAAGCACACACACACACACACACACACACACACACACACACACACACACGTACACGCACACGCACACACAGGCAAGCATGGTGTGCACACCTGTAACCCCAGTACTGGAACCCCAGAGCTAGGGTCCATCTACATTATAGACCATGCTGTGTGAGTGAGGTTACCTCAAACAACAAAGCAAAACAAAAAAGCTAACACCTGGGTACTAAGAGGAGGTGATGGAAGTGGCTCTCTAAGCTGGACTCATCCTGAGGTTCCCGGTTTAGAGCCCCATTTCAAAAGACAAACTTGGGCATGGGGAGGGAAGCCCCAGAGGCACTAGGAAACTGTCTAATCAGCCAGGCAGATACCTGGAGGACAAAACTTAGAAAGCCTCATTAGTTAAAATCCTTGGTGGCCTGGCCTTCCTTGTGATCTGAGGTAGGACACCTGCTTGCCTTCAGGGGATAGGGAGGTCAGAGAGTGACCTGCTTAGACTTTATGGACTGCTTCTGAGAAGGAAGACAAAAGGTGAGAGAGGCCTTCCTGGTCTGCTGTTTGCACAGACTCGGGATGGGGTGGGGTGGGATGGGGTGGGGGCGGACTTCAGCCTGCACCTGGGCTGCCCCAGCATGCTAGCAGGGCAGACCACAGAGCCTCTGAGGGGGCGGGGCTGTAGGGTTCTTCTCAAGAGCTGGGCACATCTGTCTCTTGATAGCAGTAAGTCTCCTTGATAAAGGGCCTTGTCAGGAAGATGGGTAGAGGCACTTCCGAAGTTTTGGGATGCAGATGGTGGGCACTTACTCAGACCAGGAGAAAATTCTTCAGCTTTTCCTTTGGTTTAAGGGGTTGTTTCGAGTCCTTATCTTTACAGTAGAGTACATTCAGGAGACGAACGAAGCGGATCTTTGTGATGAAGCTATCCTTTCAGACTTCCGTTTCTAAAGTTACATCAAACCATGTTGATGGCAGTGCATATTGACAAGAAGTGAGGTTCAGAAACCAGGATGGGCTTCAAACTTAGACGCTGCATATGCTGGCTGCAGGACTGTGGGGCACTTAACCTAAAAATCTCTGAGCCTTAGCTTTTCATGTGCAGAATGGAATAAGAGCTGTTCTTGCATCTGAGGGTCATTCTGAGAATTCCGTGATAGAGTGTGAACAGAGTGAGTCCATGTACAATACAGTAGGTACTAGTTTTAGGTCTTGACCATCTTCTAAAATTCTGGGCATGGACTCTGTATGTCTATGACAGCCCGGTGAACTGTGGGGGACTGCAGTCTGTGACCCCAGGTGCTGAGTTGCTCAGGAGAACTCTGAAGGGTAGCTAGCACCATGCCCAGGAAACCAGGCAGGACAGGCATACCAGCAGAAAGGGAACTTGCTCAGCTCCTGCTGACTTACGCTGCTGAGGTTCTTAAAGTGGAAACGACCCCAACAGTGAGCCATTTCCTCTGTAAAATACAGCACTAAGCTTGCAGGTGATGAACTGCAGCCAGGTGCTCCCATTCCCGGGATGTGGAGAGTGAAGAGCAGGCGCTCACCCTGCAGTTACGCAGAAATACAGACGTTGAGGAGTCAGGCAGGGGTTTCTGCTCACCTTGGACCCTCTTCCTGCCCACGGCAACCTTACAGCTTTTGAGTATGAATTGGTACTTTCTTCTGTATTTTTCCATTTTACTGTAGTTGATTGATTTTAGTGAGCTTCAAAACGGTAAGTATTATTGCTTTAACAGTGCCACACCAGCTGGTAGGTAGACCCTACTAGTCAGGAGGTTGCGGTGGGAAGATGGGATTGCTTCAGTTCATGGGCTCCAAGCTTTTACCAGAACACCTAGGCATAAAGCTTACTGCTAGGTTCAAAATGTCAGACCTGCCAAGAGAAAAGACATTTTAATTGGGCAGATGGATACATATCTAGATAGATGATCAATAGGGTCACAGATAATAAGTAGAAAGACAGGTGATTGATAGATAGATAGGCATATGACAAATACTAGGTTGATAGATAATAGATAATATAATAATAGATGATAGATAATAAGTAAATGATGGTAGGTAGGTAGATAGATGATAGATTAATGGGTATGGTGATAGGTAGATAGATGATAGCCAGATGAGAAGTAATAGGTAGATAATAGGTAGATAGCTAAACTGTTCCTTTCCTATAGCAGTAGAAAAGACACATTTTATAAAAATAAAAAAGTCAGGAAATACACATATGCAAATGAAGCTGTGTGTCCCAGTTTCTTGGACTGGGAGAAGAGTCTTTCTTCTGGTAGCTCTGATAGCTCTTGGGATAGGTCATTTTTTGTTCCGGTTCGGTACTTTCTGCAGGGCTCCTAATTCCTAGGCCTGGTTACAGGAAGAGTCTGGGCAACACAGTGATCTCTCCATGCCAAACAAATTGATAGACATTGTGTCTCAATTACCAAAGTTTTGCTAGTATTCTGGGGGAGAGGGACTGACCAATCTATCTTCACCTGCTAATAGAAAGGCAGAGGAGCTCCATGGCAGCCCCAAGCCTTGGGGAGCAGCTCATTAGCTAAGCTGTACATGTGTGTGTGTGGGGGGGGGCAGTACTGAATGAAAAGTGAGGGGAAGGCGAGAGGTGTTTCTCTAATGAGAATTTTTAAGTAAAGGGAAATGGCGGAGAAATTCCCAGAAGCTGTGTAGATGAGGTGAGGTGAGAGGGAAAAATAATAAGAGAAACTTGAAAAAAACTCCCAAAATTTACCACCGAGCTGCAACTGCAGGCTGACGTTAGCCAGGGTCTTCCCTTCAGACCTGATTAGCTTGCCCCAACTCTTACCAGGCCCGGGCTCTATTGTTCACTGAGAATGATGGGATATCTGCTGAGGACACCTCTCTCTCTCTCTCTCTCTCTCTCTCTCTCTCTCTCTCTCTCTCTCTCTCTGCAGGTGGAATCTAGTAGGGATGCCAATGGAATTCTCTTCTCTTTTCTCTCACATGTATGAGAGCGGCCTTCCTTCAAACACAGTTTCCCTCTCCTCTTTCCCACTGGCCAGGCAGGAACAGCACCGAGCAGTCTGTGTGTGACCCACCAGCCCCCAAAGTGCAGCCCATGAAAGAGAAAACTGCATGGCTGATGCTTCCACACCCAGCTCACACCTTGCCAGCTCCACAGGAGGCTCATTAGACCTTTCACTGTCTTAAGACTATCTCTCCCTAGACAGCACAGGCCAGCCTCAAACTCACCATATTTCTACATCAGGGTCCTGCGTGTTTTGTTTATGAATGCGTCGTTATGCCCAGCTACCTCAAGTTTCTGATGACTTAGAGCCACACTTTCTCCCCTTCTTAAATAAACCTGCTTTCTTTAATTCAGCTGATATGTTTCTTTCCATCCCTTTAGAATATAGTCCTTCAGTTGGACACCTTGCCCCCTTTAACAGCCTTTATTTTTCCTGATTCTCTGAGGACTCACCTCATGGTGAGATGTCCTCACCCCATGGGGAGGGTGAACCTGAACAGCAGTCTCCTGGGCAGAAGCCACATTCTAATGACAGTGCCTTCCCATTCCAAAGGTCTTGCTTCACACCCTCGTCACCTGTCTCGATTAGGTGGGAGGCTTCGTCAGCCCGAAATGCCTGTCAGGCACGGCCCCAGCCAAAGCAAGTTTGGTTCTTGAGCTGATAAGGAAACTCGGGTTGCTTGCAATGTACTGCTATGATCATTTTCATCCCGAAGTACCTTGCAGTCATCCCAGGTGGTTGCAGAGATGACAGGCAACAGATTATACCATTGGGAGCTTCCCGATTGATTTGGTGCCCCAACTGCTGCCTGCAGGAAGCAGGTGGGAACTGCGGTGGTATAGGAGCAAGCTGGGCATCAGCTCTGATGGTTGGGATGTTACGGATGCTGGCCCGATTCTCTGTGGTACAGCTGGGTTTGTGGTCTGCTATGGGTTGGTCGTGGAATGTCTTTCAGAGGCTCATGAGTTTGGTCCCCAGCTGAGGGCATTTTGGAAGGTTATGGAACCTTCAGGCAGGGGCGCTAGCAGGAGAGACTAGGTTGCTAGGGGGATAGGCTTTGAATGTGAAAGACTAGCCTGGTTGCAGCCTGCTTCCTGATCCTGGAGATAAGACAGGCCCCCTGGTACTTCCACCATCAAGTGACTCCCTATCACCATGCCTCCCTCACTCTGATGGACTCTTTCTTCTCAAACCAGAAGTCAAAATCCTTCTGCCCAAAAGTTGCCTCTTTACAGTGTTTTATCACAGCAAACAAAACATAACTATACAGGTTCCATGTCTTTACAATTCCATGGCCTCATGGGCCTTTACCCAGATTCCTTAAATGGTACACATCTCTCCTCCTCCCCTGCCTCCTCCTCCCCTTTTAAAAATGTCTTTCAGAATGTGTACAGTTGTGTCCTAAATCCTCCACTCCCTGAGGTTATTGACTAACCAGCCTAGCCCTTCATGTTCTGAAAGCTGAAGGAACTGTCCACATTCTCAAACCGTTTCCCGTTTCTTCTGCCCCCAGGTAGACACCCTGGAGATGATCCGTCATCCAGAAGAAACGACCAACATGAAGAGACAAACCATGGCTTCCTACTTCCGGGTATGAAGGCTGCTGCTTCTCAGGTCTTCCTCCTTCCAGAAAGGACAAGCCCCGCCTTCCCATGTGTCTTACTCAATGTTCTACGGCTGTGAAGAGACACCATGACTGCAACTCTTATAAAGAAAACCATTTCATTGGGTGGCTTACAGTTTCAGAGGTTTAGACCATTGTCATCAAGGCTGGAATCATGGGGGCATGCAGACAGACGTGATGTAGAAGAGGTAGCTGGGAGTTCTGCATCTGGATTGGTAGGCAGCAGTAAGGAGAGAAAGACACTGGGCCTGGCTTGAGCATTTGAAACGCATCCCCAGTAACACACTTCCTCCAACAAGGTCACATCTCCTAATCCCTGTCAAGTAGTACCACTCCCTAATGACCAAACCTTCAAATATATGGACCTGTGAAAACCATTCCTATTTGAACCACTATACCATGTGAGGTCCAGACATGACAGACTCCATAAAGCCAAAACGCAAATGCCAGTTAAGAGAGGCATATGTTAGTATTCAGGCATCTGTACTGGTCTGCCCTTGGGGTCCTGACAGGATATGTCCTTAGCTCAAACCACTAAGAGCACCACCTGTGCACATTTGCTAAGTTCCCTTTTAAAAAGGTGGTCCTCGCCCACCTCCTCTCTCTCTCTCCCTCCCTCTCTCTCCCTCCCCCCTTTTTTCTTTCTCTTCAGCCACTCTTATCCCCAGGGACCAGTCTCTGCCCTCCCCCTCTTTGCCCCCTTCTCTGCCTCTTCCAATAAACCTCCTATGTGAGCTCTGTTGGATGATGATAAACTCCCTTCCAGAGTTTTAAAATTTCTAATAATGTGGGCAGTGTGGTCTACATAAACGAGTTCGAGAGTAGCCAGACCTCTTCCAAAAACTAGGGAGAAGAGGAAGGAGGAGGCTGCCAAGAGAGAATGCCAGGCACACCACCCATTTTGTTGACACTGAGTCTTTGGGCAGCTTCATGTCCTTAACACGACAAGAAACACTTTCCCACCAAACAACAATAGTTCACAAAATTTAGAAGGTGCTTCATTGGACCTTCTATGAGGAAATAGACCTCTAATGAGGAAAGCATTGGCTTTATTTTTATAGATCTGACTGACCTATGGCAAGACCCATTTGCCTGAGCCCTATTGTTCCCATTTTGCCACCCCAATTCTGACATTCTCTTTAGGGAAATGTTCCCTTGTGTAAGAACAATACCTGTAGAAGTAGAAGTGTTCTGTTAAGCACTCACTTTATATTAAAGATAAGATACCTAGACCCTTCCACCAATTCACAAATTATTATGAAACATCATTGGAGACGCCTTAGAGATCATGTACACTGGGAGAAATGGTTCAGTAGCTTCACGGCAGAGATGCTGTTATCATAAAAAAAAAAAGTAGGAACTGATCTCGTGGACAGAGGGTGAGATTATAAGATAGAGTTAGCATGGGAAAGAATTCTGTGGGCTGGGCTGGGCTGGGGAGCTGGGTCACGAGCTGGAGGACAGGGCAAGCTGAAGAACAGGACTAGGGAATTAACACTACGGATGGAGGAAGATTTCTTCATGGAAAGTTATCAGGGTCCAGCAAAGCTGGTGGTGTGTCAGAGGCAGAGTAGGACTGGGCTCACGGTGTGAGCTGTGTGTGGGCGCGGGGGGGCTCAGGCCTGGGAGTCCAGGACTTCATGAAAGCTGCAGTTCCCACAACAACACCTCCAGCAGGCTCTCAGTGCCTGCTTAGCTTCTCTGCTTGGATATTTATGATTGCTCTTTCTTCCCTATCTTCTATGCCTGTCCTTCTTCATCAGCCGTGTTCTTGTCCTCCTAGTAACCCTTGGTGTGTGTGTGTGTGTGTGTGTGTGTGTGTGTCTGTGTGTGCGTGTGTGTGTATGTGTGTGCGTGCATGCGTGTGTGTGTATGTGCATATGTGCATCATATATGTGTGTGTATTGTATATATGTATGTGTTGTGTGTATTGTGTATGTGTGTGTACTGTGTGTGTATTGTATATGTATGTGTATTGTATATGTATGTGCAGTGTATGTGTATTGTATATGTGTGTATAACATATGTGGATATATTGTATATGTGTGTGTAGTCTGTATGTGTTTCCCCATGAGATTTGGAAGCTCTTGACTGTGATGTCATCCTCAAGATTCGCAGTGTCCCTAACAGAGGACAAGTCTCTAGCTTACAGATTTCAGGAATATGATACCACACTGACCAGCTTTATATATCTTCAAAGTATGGGTCCCCAAAGACCAAAGCAGAAAGACAGCATACCCTGGTCAGCGGGGTAAGATCACTTCTGATCAGTAAGTGGAGTGATTCTGCTTTGTAATGGCCTCTGAGAGCTCCAACAATGGACAACTCTGAGGGACACAGCCCTGTCCCGTAAGCGTCCCTCTGGTTGTTCATGTTTTTTCTTTTTCTCTGCAAAGTATGTAATAGTTGACCTTCGTCATTATCCTTTCCTCTAGTAATCTTGCCCTATCCCTCCTCCTCTTCCTCTTTATTTCCCTTTCTCTCTCTCCCTCCGTCTCCTCCCTCATTCTTATAGCCAAGGTCAGTATGATTGGTTGTGAATTTCCAGGGGCTCTCAGGTGAAGGAAGCAGGTAGGATTCCCCCACAATGGGTGTTTTCGTTAGAGTATAGTATGCCATTATTCTGGATAGTAGATGCCATCCCAGACTTACCTAGAGCATGTCCTTAAAGGGGCTTCTGTCATATAGAAATACCGCTTTGGCACCAGAATTTTAAAGAGTGATTTCAACCTTCAGACAGCTGTAGGGAGAACCCATGTTGCCGTCTCTGGTTGCTAATTTCATGTTCTTTCTTAATAATCTGTGACCGCTTCACGAGTCTCCCTGTTCTGACGGCCACCGCAGGCCAGGTGAGTGGCACCTCTTTTCTCAGCCCGCATTTGTTTTCTCCCTGCTAGTACTCGCTGATGGATCTGCTCTCCAAAATGGTGGTGGGACAGCCCCACTTCGTGCGTTGCATTAAGCCCAATGATGAACGCAAGGCCCTGCAGTTCTCCCGAGACAGAGTCCTGGCCCAGCTTCGCGCCACAGGGATCCTGGAGACAGTCAGTATCCGCAGGCAGGGCTACTCCCACCGAATCCTCTTTGAAGACTTTGTGAAAAGGTCAGTGTTCTTGGGGATACATCCTGTGTACCAGCTTCACCCTGTCTGCCTCTGTCCCCCGGGGAGACAGATTCTTCTCCCCAAACCCCTCCCAGTTCTTCCCTCTAAACATGTGATGGTTATTAATGCCAGCCGTCATTTACTGGTTTCAACACTGTGTTTTTGTTGTGTTCCAACTACGCTGCAGAAAACTTGAGAGTGGCTAGGCCGACTTCCGATCACATTTTAAAAAAATGTTCATAAGTATTTTATATTAAATTCTTGGGTCTCAGATTCTCTGAACATTGCACTGTAGTCAGAGAAGACCCCTACCTAGTTGGGCCCATATTCTGGAGGACTTGGCTGTGCCCAGTACCCTCTCCACTCTCAGAGTCCGATGCATCACACCATGACAGTGGTAATCAGTGTCCTCCTAGCACCTAGGATGTACGAATCCAGGGCATTTTAGGCACTGTCCTTAAATGTACGGTCTTGTTTGTCTGTCGAACAATCCAGTGAGCTAGCCTTATTCTTTTCTCTGCTTTTCAAGGTGGGGAACTTAGGACACACAAGTAATGTGACTTTCCCAAGATCCCATTTATTGGAAATGGGATCCCAAGACCCAGGGTCAGAAATGAAAGAGCCAGGATTTGAACACCAGCAGGCTAGCTTCACCTTCCACTTTTTTGTTTATTTTGTTTTGTATTTTTTGTTTTTTTGAGATGGGATTTCTCTGTAGCTTTGGGGCCTGTCCTGAAACTAGCTCTTGTAGACCAGACTGGTCTCGAACTCACAGAGATCGCCTGCCTCTGCCTCAGAGTGCTGGGATTAAGTGTGTGCGCCACCACCACCCGGCTTCATCTTCTACTTTTTAATCTCTCCAAATGAACGCCTTTGGTCCGTGTTTATTATGAAACATAAATCGCAAGGTGTGTGTGGGGGGGAGGGGGGTCCAAACTCGGAAGTTGCCTTATCTAAGGAAGCTAGATCATTCTTCTGACCACAGCCGGTTCAATTGTACCTTGGTGTGCCATATAGTCACAGGCAGGACTTTACTGAAGAAATAACAAGCAACACTGCAGCAACAAAAGCCACCTTCAAGAAAAAAGCATACCTATCAGAGAATGCCAGAGTGTAGCAAGAAAATCTCATAAACTCTGCCTCGTTTGTATTGTCCTTTTATTCCCATTCTGATATCATATATATACATACATATATATATATATATGAAAGTAAAATACATATATTTAGAATTACCTTGAATATATACATGGTAGGTTACTCCATTGAATCTTCCAAACTCTGCTAAGTCACATGGAAAAGTAAAAGGGAAAAAAATTCTTGCAAATAAGATCTTCTAAATTTAAAATAAGAATGGAAAAAAATTTAATGTACCTGTAAGCCCCCCCCCCTTTTTTTCTCTTTTCTGTCTTAAATTTGGAGTTGTACAAAGGGGGAGCAAAGATAATTTTAGCTCCTGAATGTAACTATTTTTAGCCACAAAGTACTGAATACATGAAAACATTTAAGAAAACCGGTCAAATGCTAAGCAGACTGGTACCTCTTTGTTCACGATCAGAAAACCATTAGGCAGATATGAACGAGAATTTCAAAATGTCAGTGAATCTGAGGGTATCAAAGATTTCCGAGCCAGCGAGCTAATTGGTATTTTGAACCTTTTGAACAACTGAACAACAAAATGGATGAGCTAGCAATTTCCCCCTTGATGTTATTCAGCAAATAGGAGCTTCTTATCTTTCCTCTCAGAGTGCTATTTTGTCAACTCTTAGCAGGAAATAGGCAGACAAAACAATCAAAGGCAGGGAACAGAGGCAGGAGGCTTATCAAACAGAGGTAAATAAAAGGTAAATGCTTCCTTAAGTTTGCTCCCTAATTCTTCCTGTTTTCTGATACTGGAGCCTGAAACCTGAAAGGTCCT